GTTAATCGCTTTGACAGCAACAGCAACAGCAACAGCAACAAATAAGTGCCATTGCCTTTGCCATAACAATAGCAAACAACAAGCTCCATCTTGCCTGGAAAATTCCTGCATAACAGTTACATTGACTTAGATTAAAGCGAAATACAATAGAATAAAATAAAATAAATTACAGCCACCCCCCCCCCACGTCCACCCACGCCTACCGTCAAAGTCCAAGCGCGTCATCCAACACGATGACACCTTAATCTAATTATCCAAAAAAGTCCACTTAGGCGACTGTCAAGGGAAAAAAAAAAGAAACTTACAAAAAATTGAATCAAAGCGTCAATCTCCCACGATACATACATACATACATATTACACGGGTCAAACCCAACATCGCAATTATTGAGGAAACACGGATGAATGGAATTGCCTGACTATTATTCCCTCCCACCATTTCTCCCAGTAAGAAAGAAAGGGAAAATAATCTACCTTAAACAAATTATGCTAGTGGAGATAAGCCCGTGCAACGTTTCACAAAATGGCTCCTCTTCTTCTGTTTCTGTTTACACAACCCTCCCCCCCTCCTCTAACACCCTTGGCATTTTAGAAACTTTTTCCGAATCAAGGGTTGCATTGGAGCATAACCGAGCCTAAGGAGTAAATCCAGGCATGCATACATACATTGGTAGCGGGTAACTATAAAAAATCTTGACTCACAAAATTCCCAGAAGCAAGTTTGTTCTTGTGTGACGTGAGTTTATGCAAGGGAACTCAGGGGAGATAAAAGAAAAATGGTAAAATAAATAAGCAATATTTGTATTATGTTATGGAGATCACACTGACTTTTTTTTTTCTAAACCATAGATAGATAGACACACTAGATAGACACAATAGATTAAGTAGGTACGGAAAGGGCGTTTGCCTATTACACAGGCTACTACAGTATGATAACTTTAAAAGCTACAGAGTACAGATAGATGGTTTTTGAATTGGACGGGTCTAATTGATTAGCGATTCATTGCGCATTTGTCCGGAACGCGCAGCGTCCCTACCTATCTACCTACCTACTTAGATGATAGTGCGGGTTCCAGGTTGATCCAAACCATGTCACTGACTGCCTCGCTTGCCTGGTAAGTAAGTTGAAGGCGAACTGGAAGGGAAATTAACTTTAGAGCTCCTCCCCGATCAGCGAACTTTCTAGCCACCCTACCACTACCTACCTACATATTTTACTCACTCACTTACTTCACTAGTAGATACATCTTCTACAGCAAATAGTCCAGTTCAGCTGAATCCACGGACGGAGTAACTAAAACGCCCCTCGCAAGAACCGCAGACAGCCGCTTAATTAGAAAAGCAGACACACAGTCTCGCTCGCTCCGGGCAAGCTCTGTCCGAAAATTATGGAATCAGTCACAGTAGACCAGTGAACAATCCACACTAGTTAGTTAGTTAGTCTGGTCTAGTCTAGTCTTTGCGCTTCTTGAGTCGCGCTCAAAGTCCGATTGGTCGGTGATGGAGAATGAGATTCAGTCGACACACTTAAGGTGTCATGGTACCTTGGGTATGGGCTACAAACAAGGTTTCTTGTTCACATTACACACACACGGTTAATATCCCTCGCCTGGGAGGCGAAAAAGCTTGATTGTATCGCCAACTAACTGTCCGTGACACGCTGGGTGGGGAGGGGAAGGGAGGGCGAGCGTTTGTTTGGTTCCATACATATTCTTGAAAAAGTGTGTGAAAACTCTCATTCTCTGTTGTATCTATCTCCCCGGACTACTACTTATGATCGTCCGTTGCATGGGAAGGGTAGAGTTCAGTGGTACGAGCAAATACCGTTTTAAGTGTGTGAAGAAAAGGAAAGCAGAGAAAAGTAAAAACAAATAGTAAAAGCAAAAGAATAATAACATTCATCTGCCTTCTGACATCATTGTTCAACAGAATATCGACAGGTTCGCTGCACAGAACCTCCAGCCAGCCCAAGGGAAGACGATCAGTTCACAATGTATGGATAGATGTATGGATGTAAGTGAGTACATACATACATACACACCCGGTGATCTATTTTCAGATAGGTATGGTGGTACTCCGGACTCTCCGCATCGCCTTGCATACATGGGTGGAGAGAGAGAGAAAGAAAAGTAAAGAAGCAAAGAAAAAGAGGGGCGAGCAATTCCAAAAAACAAGGCTATGCAAGTGATATGTAGGTGCTATAGCTATTGTCCGCCATAGGCGCCAGAGTGGGATGGGAGACGTCGGAAATCAAATCGGGAGTTGCGTTGGATCTAGCAATGTGAGTGAGTGTCACCCTACTACTTCGCTAAACTAGGAGTTTGAGCATCCAGGCGGAGAACATACATTAGTGAAGTCCCACAACATGATCGCAGGGTGTACACACATTACATTATGTATACTATCCTATCCCATACTTGGGTTGTTGTGGCACTGAACACAAGGTGCAGCAAGCTAGCTACCCAGTAGTACCAAACTAATCTAACATACCACCGGTTCGTGACTTGGATGGGTTTGTGATTCCTGCATAGGTAGTATAGGTGTTACCTAACGACTTTGTTGCGTGAATAACTAGGGAAACATATTTGGCCCCAAACATACTTACACAGTACTACTGCTGGTAACTTGTAGTTAGATAATGTAAACAGGTCCTTCATAATCCAAGTAGAACATCAGCCTACTTAACTTACTACTTTCTTAGTTACTACTCCAACTGCCTTGTGAAGCCTGATACGCCGTACCTTGCACCGGACGTGGTCATCCAGGAATTAATCTAAATTAATAACAACAGTCGCATCCTTCATCGAAGAAGGTCTTGTTTCTTTTATCTCCTATTTGCCCCATGTGAGACATCAGCTGCAACCCAGCCCAGCCCTGTAAGTACTAGTATAGCTTAGTGTCAGCAGCAACTCCTGACCACCTCCGCCAGAATCGCTTGGCTCGAATAATTTACGCATCCTGATGTGGGCCAGCCAAGGAGGGCCAAGAAAATCGGCCAGGATGCGACCGACTTTGTTGGCGATACGCTTATCCTGAACGCTAGTCAGTAGTACGGCTGCGCTATAGTTCCAGGAGTTAGTGGTGATGGCGCTGCTGGTAGTTAGTCTACTAGTTAGTTAGTTGTGGTTGGGCCCTTGTAAGCTGTAACGTATCTATCTCACACCCCCCTCCTCTCTGACACTTTCTTTATGAAGTAGTAAGTAGTCATTTGGGAAGCGCCCGGATGGGTGAAACTTCCTTTTTCATCCATGTTTCAGTTCGTGTTTCTTTTTTTAATTATTCTTTTATTATTCTTATTATTTCCTTTTTCCGATTCGATTATAATCACTACTGTGATAAAGAAAGGGAAATGGTAATAATTTAGTAGCCTAGCCGGCTTGGTCGGATACTTTCTGTTAGTGTGGTTATTTTCGATTCTACTCGATCATGAACCTCCGTTAGCGCCAAGGTGTAATAATAAAGTGAAAAGCTGAAGCCTGGAACGGTGGATTATGGGTGGTAATGGAAGAGGGCTGTGCAAGACCAAGATAATATGTCAAAGCTGATAGTGTTTGATCAACGTTGCCAATGTGGAATGAAGCTAATCAAAGCAGAAGAATGAGAAGAAGGCAAACCTTCAGTTAAAATTAAAGTACGGAGTAATTTCAGGCAAAGAATGAAGCAACGGACAAAGCTCGATCCTGGTTGAATTGCGCCCGCAACTTTATCGAGTCCTAATCAATGTTACTGGACAATAAGCTCCGGACTATGAGCGACGCGAATTTCCCGGTCGAGCGCCGCCGGGGAGGTCACGCCCGCTGATTGGAGTATGATAAGTCGCGAGCAGATCAGCTATGCTCTGGTCTTACGTGGCCGATTGATTTGCATATGACTGATCCTAGACTGGCTTTTTTAAGTTCTTCGTTCTTCTCTTTGCCTGTCGGAGTTCCCTTGTTCTGCTTCTGGCTGGGTTTCACTTTGGCGCCCAGAGCTGAAGACCTGCCTACCTGAGTAAGGAGAGGCGTTTTTGAAGAGGGGAAAGAAAAAGGGAGGGCCCACTATCATACTTATCGGACAGTATGCCATGCGAACCATCACCCCGGATAAGAGTTGTCAAGCTTTTTCACAGAGAATGACTTGATGTTTGGTCCAGCGGATAAATTCTCAGCTGAAAAAGGGGGACGCATTCAGCAGACAAGAAAAAAAAAAAATCATCTGCCTGGCGCTTGTCACTGGTAAGCTCAGTTGATCCCTGCTTGAGACCAGGATAGGTGTTCAGACGCATGGAGAGAAAAGCCTGGGTCCAACGATAGGTTGAAAGTAATGGCAGCCGGAGTTAGAGTCCGAGAAAAACGTTAGTCAGAATGCTTAACGTGACCAACCAATATCGGGCCTATCTTACAACCATCTTCTACCTGTAATAGGACTGGTTTTACTGCGGCGACAAAGAAACTGCTAATCAGAGGGGAAAGAAATTCCCTTTGCGGGATCAGGTGCTCGCCCCGATACGAGTACGAATCGCCACAGTGGCTGTTGTCATCTGCCGAGAAGCCGAAAGTCCGAGAGCACGGAATTAACGAGTCAAGAATGTCAGCGGAAAGGGAATAAAAAGTGAAAAGCACAAAGTAAAATAAAAGGACCCGAAAATCCAGTCACGAAGCCTAAATAACGGCAAAACGGCAAAGGCAGGCGAGCGTACAAGGGCGAAAATGTCGTCAGTTTTGGCCCGAAAGGGTCACTTTCGGGCGGAACCGCTGCGTAACCCGGGGATAGTCTAACCCTAAATAATCATAAAAAGAAATGCGTGTCGTATTCCCCATCCGATACCGATTACGAATCGGGGGCATGGAACAAGGTCTGTGCTAAAGTTCTTCTAGACGATACAGAGGCCCTCCAAAGAGAGATCAGATGAACACGAGAATGCCGCAAAGTTATGATGATGATGGCCACCACCCAAACCCAGATGCATGATTGGCGATCGCGTAGGGGTCCAAATCCAGACACAGGTTCGGATGGAGCTGGCAAAACGGAAAAAAAGGTTTTACTTTTATTAATATTGTGCACACGCCGGATATCCGGAGGCATAATTATGAGAAATTCAAACATAAAACCCAGAGGGACTAATAAAAGCGACCATGGAACAAGTGGAACCCCAGCCACAGTGGAGGGGGGGCCATGTCTCTTCTTCTAAGCGAGCTTAAGGTTCCTCGTGTTGGATTAAGCTTAAGCTTCAGAAAGTCGCGCACTAATCAATTTCCGGTTGGTATCAAGCGATCAGAGCGCCACTGGTATCTTCCTAGTGTAATACGGTAATATTTTGGACTTTCCCTGTTTGATTACTGAGAATATTCTCAATTTTCTGAATCATGGGTTTTACTGGAGCCAAGAAACCTCCAAGCCTCCAAGCAGCAGACCGGTCAAGATATGGTCGATCGACTGTCACCGGAGAAGCCAAACCGCGTAAGGAGGGCCGCCACGACTATCATGGTATCCTTCCGTCGTCATGATACGGACGGGAAGCTCAATCAGTGTGCAGCATGCTTGCTGCGGAATGGACATCTGGTATGTGGGAATCCTCCAGCCCTGTAAGCAGGAGTTTGTGTCACCCATCATGTACATAGTATGTACACAGTTACTCCATCTGTATATACCAATGTATAAAGGCGTCCTTTAACTATTCATGCTGTGCTCCATGTCCCATACTTGATAGTCATACCGGGCACATCGCTAAGCTTGGTTTAGACTCCACCACCGGAAGTCTCTTTATTTCCCCCCTCCCACCCCTCCCTCCGCGCGCCCCCTTTTGTTCATATCTCATTATTCACCCTGGGTGCGATCACACTCATTTGATTACTATTCTTTGTTTCTAAGATAAGGAGGGAGGGGGAAAAAGGTGGGCACGCTCGGCTATAATTAAATCCCTTCTTACTTCTTACAGTGAGATTGACTGGATCTGACCTGGTTAGTATATGGTAACAATCAGAGGTAAGACACAAACGGAGTAATCTTAAGCCCCATGGAAAGGTCCCAGCAGCAGAAGAGAGAAAGAAAGAGAAAAGAAGAACCGAAGCCTCCACCGGTGTCCACACCAGCCAGCCTCGCTCCCCAGAACCATGGATACTCATCAGGCGAAAAAGAAAAGGTTAAAAACAAGGTTCTATTTGTTTGTGATGAATCCAGCAACTAAATATCAGTCGGATGAGATCATTTGCTGCAGCCGGCTCCTATTTACCCACTTTTTCGGGGGGGTCGTTTCTTTCGTCTGGTTGATTCTCGGTATGGCCAGCGCCTAGAGAGAGGCCCAAGCAATTAGTCCTCTGACCTTGTCTTGTTCTTCTTGTCTGCTGTTTTGAAAAGGTGTATTGTCAGAGAGGAGAGGCCACTAATGGAATGAGAATATACGAGAAAATAATAATTCAACTGAAAAAAAAAAGAAAACATCAATAATCAGAATAATGGTCATGAGAATTCTTTTTCCGGGAGCTCTTCGCTAAATTGGTTTTTAATCAAATACATACGCCAGTCTTAGTCACTCCCACCCTGCACAAAAAGGAAATCCCCATCACCTAATTTCATTTATTATTACATGGTCTTTCAATAAAAACCACTGCTTGACCTTGTGGGGTTCAGAGTTAAGTCGGTTCCCCACCCTATCTCTAATGCTAATTCTTCGAGTAAGCATTATTGCTTTTCTCTTTTTTCTTTTCCCTTTTGGTTATTATTATTATTATTATTTATTTTTTATTATGATAATAATTTTTTTTATTCGGGTTCCGATTAGTTTAGTTTAGTAGTAGTAAAGTAGCTGAATTATTATTCTTATTATTACTACCACGATCCCTCTCCCCTTCTTCTCTTTCTACTGCGACTTGCTGCGACTTGCGACCTTCAACCATCCCCCATCTACTGCTCCTATAACTGAATACCAACCTTGGTGTTGACGTTTCTCCTTCTATCATCACCCACTAAACAGTCTGTCGCCCGCCTTGCTGCATCCAAGATCGATTTCAACTGCGACCACAACGCACTACCTTCCGCCACGGTAAGTCTTGCCTGTACCTGCTCGGCCTTTGCATGTTGTAGCTCCCCTTGTCTCAGCGGCGTTTGTATAACGCTCAACCTCCGCCTGCCTGCATTCTTCTTTATTCTCCTATCAGGCCCTCCCCACTCCTTGTTTCCTATCCCCTTCCTTGCTGCCCTGGTTTCTTTACATTCCATCCCCTCTGTCCTCCCCTCCCCTCCCCTCCAACTCCACTCCTCCACCCTATCCATTCTTCAATCACATAGATGGGAAATTAATGTTGTATCTTGACCCTTTAGATTATTTTCCGCAGTGGGTTCTTCACAGCACCTGCTCATCTCTCACCTTCTCTTGAAGCTTGGCCTTTTGTTTCCTGTTCCGGGAATATCGCACGCTTGAACGGTGTTTCTTGAACGGCTTCTGCACAGCCGTTGTTTGACTTCCGACCTCATCTAGATTGCCTGCATTCCGGCACATCTTTCAACATTTTTCACCCTACGAAACCCCCGGTCCTAGCGCTTAAACCAACAGTCATCACGGGGACCTACACAGATCACCGAAGGTGGATGGAGACGTATCACGGGCACGTCCGCACTCCTGCGGACGCTATCATCCTCTTCGAAGCTTGTCGCATTGGCCTTCTCCCCCGCGTACAGAGACGTTTATCCGAGAAGGAACGTCAATTAATTCGTTCCGGGTCAGTCTTTGTCTGGGATGAACGCGAAGCGGGCATGCGAAGATGGACCGATGGGAAGTCATGGAGTGCCAGTCGCGTATCGGGAAGCTTCCTAACATATCGCGAGATGGAAGGCAAACGGGGCGGGACTGGTGTAGCTCAGACTACGATGTCCAGAGCTGGTAAAACGCCAGAAAGCACACGAGGCAGTGACGATGACCGTGGAGATGGTGCGGATGAAGGGCCGGACGGCTACCGCTACAAGCCTGATGGCTTAATGAAACAATCCTTCAGCATTACGACATCTACCGGCCAGCACCTCCATCTTATCAGTTACTACTCGAGGTCACATCCTTCTGCCGCCAATCTTCAACAGCCGTCGACGGACCCCAACTTGCGGCATGTGCGTCCTCAGAAGGGCCTTTATCCGGAGTCTACTGTGAATGATCAACAGAATCTCCCCGTTGTGACTCGTGGTCCCATGGCCGGTGCCGCATACGTGCCGCCTCATCCCATGGCACCCTATGGACGCTCTCCGGCTGCGCACGCGGCGCCATACACTCCCTCATATACATGGCCTCCGACTCCGCTGGCTACTCCGCCCGTTCCGGTCCACTATCCCTCTTACCTTCCGTCAGTGTCTCAGCCCAATGGCCAAATGCCATATGGCCACCAGGCTGCTGTGCCTCCTGGTACGCCCTTGCCGCCTCCGCAACCACCGGGATTGCCAGCACACCACGAGCGGCCGGTACATGTAGCTGAAGTCACGATGGCGCCATCTCTCCATCAACCGTCCAGCGTGCAGGTGCTTGCAAGCCGGTCACCACGAGTGCCGCCAGGAGCGCACGAGCTTCTTCACCGCCCGAGTCCACCAGAGCTTGGCCCGCCTCGCGAGATCGCGAGAACGTCACCCCGCACGCAGCCACATCATATGCCGCACAGCAACGGCATCCCATCGATTGCGCGCAGTCCCCAGCTTATCAGCCAGCCACCGTCCACTAGCGTACAAATTCCTCCGCCAAGTACGATGGCACCCAAGCCACTGGAAGCCAGCACCGGCACTACCGTGCCCAGCATCGGTGCGCTGATGAACGGCGCGCCTTCTGGTGGATTGCCGTCGATCGCCGCGCCCCCAGCCCCGGCCGCAGGACGCGCCGAGGGACCCCGGGACATTCCCAGCGAAAAGATCGGGTTTGGGGGAGAAGACATGCGCGCACTCCGGCAACTGGACCGGGTCTTCACTGCGTAGCGTGCTGGTGGCATTTTCAGTTCTTTTAACGAAATTAGATCCTCATGCTGTCGATCTCTTCTTTTCTATTTCCTTTTTTTGTTGTATACGATTAGCATATTGCCTTGGTTTGACACTGTTCAGATTGGAATGGTCATGTTTACGACACTTGTGTGGTTTATTCCCTGGGTTTGCTTTGATCCGTTGGTCCCAGGCAGGCTTGAAATGGATCGGCGTTGTACAAGAGGAGCATTGCTATACAGCATGGGTGGGGTCTCTTTTTAAATGTCTTGTGTGATTTCGTGTGCTGCATTGTTGTTGATAATTGCATTGGGATCGGTCACGACCGGCGGTTGGGCTGCGATGGTACACCTTGAATACAACAGATCAGAATTCGAATCCAACTACTTGTATTTGCAGTAGACGCAGTCGTATACTCCAGACCAGGATCGATTCATACATCCTCCCGTCCAGTGGCAAGAATTAGCGCCCAGTAATGCTACAATCTTATCTCTGCGCCTACCTCTTCCATTAGATTCCACTTCAGCCGACTAATGTAACTGTATACAGCGTAAGTGACTGACACGGCAGTCTGTACTGTGTCCCAACGCTGTCAAACCTGGCACAACATGAAGCATCAGCCTGGCCAACAAGACATGGTCCATCACGGATCCATACCATCGCTCAGCGCACCAACCCAGCCTACAACAGGAGAAAAAAGCAGTCTGTTGGCAGGGTTTAGGGCCCTCTCTTCTGCAGTCCCACTACTGATTTATTGTTATTCATGATAGACCTACCCTGTCGGTCAGTCCGTCTGCCCGCCCTACTATATACACGTATCTATCTACCACCACCTCGTTCAAATCACAACAAGCAACTAACCAACTTAATGACTACTAATTAGGATACCGTACTACCATAACATAATGGAAATATACTAACTTGTTCTCACCAGCACTTAACATCTAAAATGGCAACGAAGATCAGTATCAGTATCCACATATTAAGAAGCAAATTTCGTGGCGATGATAAGAAACTATTGCAGTTGTGCATAGGACTTACGTACTTACATGCATGCAATGCAATGTTCCTTGTCATATGTATGATGATCGCTCCTGGCTTGCAGTTGAGAATGGGAGAGAAGCTTCCATCCGAGTAACTTGTCTTGGTGCTGGCTTGTTTGGTTGTTTTGTTCATAGGCGTTGATGGGCTGGGATGATTTGTAGGTAGAAGATGATCGGAAGTGGAGATGACATGAATTTGGAAGGTGATGTGCTGGTGTTGGTTGGCATCTGGGCCAGGGAGTGCGGAGTCGAAGTGATGTGTGTGTGCGTGTATCTTTGCTTTTTGTTATTCTTTCTTTTGCTTCTGCCGGTGGTGGCGTGGGCTGGTTGGGTTGGTGATATGAGAGCGTAGGATTGGTTGCTATTCACGAGTGGGTTGGCTGTGTCGTATTCAATCTGGAGGATGAATATTTTGGAGATTGACAATGGTATAGTTGAAGGGGGCGATGATGATTCACGCTGCCCGGTCGATACTTTATAATATTTTGTTTCTAATCTTCTTTCTCTTTATTCTTTCCTACATCTACTCTGATATCTACTATTACTTATCTGAAAGCTACTCTATATGGACTTCAACTACGCCATGGTAGTATACATCTAGTATACATAACCAAACACGTTCAACCCGTTTGAGGCTTTCCCTGGTGTCTACACAATAACCTGTTTCCAAAATACTACCTTACTACTTCGAGACAATAATAATGATGTGCACCGGCTTAGCGACAATGACAATGATTCATCCAGCAACGACAAACATAGCGAAATCCCTCCTGGACATATAGTTCAATGACGGAGGATGAACTGTGCTCTCTGCCTGGTCCTGCCATTCCAAATCAAGCCTTATGCTAGATAACGATGAGTGGAGTTAGATGATATCTCATGTCGAAAACGAATGCCCCTGCCTTCGCCTCATCGGTTAAAGGAAAGAAGGGTAGGGGATCATGAACCGGGATCGAAACAGAGTGGTCTCAAGTGGTGAATAGCTTCTAGATTGACATTGGGGTATTGTTATAGAAGTATGATGGGTGTGTACCTCCATCTTTATATTATGCCATGGCCTTCCTGACGGAGAGAAGCCTGGACATAGACCACCAAAGTACAGTATATCGGTGGCGGTTTTCCTTCGTGGAGTCGAACTAATGTCCCCATGATCTGCACAGCTCATCTATTAGCTGGCCAGACTGACTGGTGGAATACAGAATGGTCGTATCTATAATTTTCCGATCTGAAGACGATCAGGAAGACTCATTGTCCGGCCAGTATGAACCCACAGACAGCTATTGCTGTGAGAGAATGCTTGGAAGCCCTTATGTCCCGGAAATAACTAAAGACTGAACGCGAATCTCATCTGGTCACGCACCTCTGCTGATATAAAATCAAAGCGGTACTATCTTGATATCCGCTAATTTTTTAGACTTCTCAAGCCATACTCTGGTTAAGAATTGCTCCTCTAGTTGAGGAAGGGGGTGACATCTTTCCATACATGTGGTAGTATTGTTACGCTGCGTCTTCTCTAGAGGGGGCACGCCAGGACTACAGCCAAAGTATGCGGCGTATTACTGTCGAATATATATACGAAAGAGATATAATAGCGTTCCTGACCGCGTGGAGCCAAATATGACTATTGCGACGTAGGCGAGTTCAGTTTGTTCCCCGCAATAATCAAGATTTATGCAGGAAATATGATCCCCTCGCCTAAACTGCGGTTGGCAGCGTCGTCTCCCTTCGAGAATGCCATCTCTTCGTATAAATGGCATATGTTTCTATATATGGGTTCTTCACAACCTACAGGCAGATTAGACACATCAATATACACATGCATGAGCATGATATGTCTTACAAAGATAACTGAATCGGCCCCAACCACAACCCAATCGCTAATGGTCCAGAAAACGATCGGTCTATGACGAACTTGGTCCTTGATTCCAACATCGATTATCGCTAGCCATGCAGTAGTTAAAGGGTGCATTCAACTTGCTTATAATGGCTACACCGTTTTTTACCAATCAGAATACAGATTTTAAGGAGTATTCTCGGCTGCTGCTGCATAATACACCGATCCCTTTAGATCAGAATCCAGAACAGCTGGCATCTAATCAAAAGCACCTACTCTCAATCAAATATTTCCAGAAGCACAGTTCTCCACAGACCATCAGCAAGGCGACCAGTGCAACCCGCATGCGAACTCTCCCCAGGCAACTAATGGTGCGCCGCATGATGGCTTCGGTTATCCCGATTAGGTCCGACTGCACAATCGGTCAGGATATTCCACCGGTAGTGAAAACAGGTCTATGAGGTGCCATTTACCCAGGAACAAATGGAAGCATATGACGCATATTGGGATAAGAACCGCAAAGTTCTGACCCTAGACAACACAGATCCTCTCGTTCCGAATTTCCGATGGGTCATGCAGAACCTGCGGAAGTTGGTGTTGGGCGGACTTCACTAATCGAAAAGTTGAGTAGTAAGTTAAAGCTCGAGTGTGTTGATGCCGCTGCCGCCGCGTGTCTATGGCTCACAGATGTTGAACGTCTTGAACCAATGATTCGAAAGTCAGACGGTGATAAATCTGCTTTCACAATTCATTGATTACTAAATACTCCAAATGGCGACTCAAAAGCAGCAGTCTCCCTTAGAGCCTGTAAGTATAGTCTAATAACTATCGATATCAACCCAGAACTGACATGATAATAGAGTCTGGTCGTGGTCAGTCGACTGCTGCCCAGAGAGGAAACTTGAAACTAAAACAGAGCAAGCAGTCTATCTAGAGTTCAAAAGAAGCATAAGAGATCGCTAGATGCTAAATTTCTGGTAGGATAACAGTCCTTCTATATACTGTGTCAAAGCACAGGAAACCCAGCCCTCTCGACTGTTTATCAGAGTTCCTGCTGCTTATGGACGCGGCATGGCGGGAACGTAAAAGAAAGAAGGAGCGGGCCATGTTCTCTTGCGCACCGCACTACTGCTGGAGAGGTACGGCGAGGGGTACGACCCCCACGGAGACCGCGAGAGGGATGGAAAGGTGGCCGGCGTACTCAAATACCTAGCGGAAGCGGAGGACATCGTGGTGCAACTAAGCATTTCAGGGAGACTAGAAGAGCTGATGCAGATCCTCAAGCACTATGCAGTCGTCGGTCCTTTGCTGGTTCGCGTGCTATCTGAAGCGAAAGGTGGGACATCAAAGTTGTCCTCGGCCGCATAAAGCCTGCCTGGTATCTTTCAAAGAGCATTAGCTAGCGAGCTCCTGCTGGAAGACTTGTTAAAATCTCTACAATCTAGGCCTGCTAACAAGACTAATCATGAACATCGTCTTGCATCCTCTACTGCACTCAGGTTGAGCAAAAATGGCCACTCGGGTCTGCCCATCGTCGTGCAGGCAACCCAGAAATGAGACATTTCTCTCCTCAAGCACAGTGTCAGATGCACGGGTGTATTGCAAAGTTCTGGCGGGGATATTCCACTGTCTGAAACCAGTCGAAAACATACAATGGCACGGTCTGGTGGTACAGCTATGTATTCCTACTAGAGATGGTCTATCACTGGATCTAACAGTAGTCTGTTCTTATCCTTCTCCAGTATTAGGGTCGCCCTCAAGCCTTCATCAATCAGATTTGTCCGGAGATGGAACATCTTTCGAGAATCTGGATTTTCCAAGATCCCAATGTGCCCAGCCAGCAACAGATGGGCAATTGCAAGATAAGCAATGTGCTTCTATGATAATTAAATAGGATATGGACGTTACTCTTTGAGGATCAGACACCAACATATAAGCTGGTGGGCTCTGATGATATCAACAGCAAGGTTTGATTCACCACTAGGCAGTTGAACAATTCTGACTGGCACAAATAGAGCTGAGCTCCATCGTCCAATACTTCAGACACTATCACACGGAGTATGCTGCTCCAACTTGTTCGCCCAAGCTGTGATGTACACCGACCATTCGATCCGGAAACGGGACACAGTCACAAGGCGTCCGAAGACAATGCTTACCTCAAAGGGAAGGGAATGATTAAGTGGATAACAAGCTTCAAGCAATGATGGCCCAAATTTAACCTGAATTGTGACGAATATATGAAGTGGGGTTGATGTTACAGCTCTTTGTTTCTAATGGACATCTAGGAAGACCACTGACGAGAATTGAGAGAAAATCTTCCGCTTTTCGCCAGTCATAAGATCTGAAAGAGCCATCAATACCAGTACAGAAAGGAATTAAACTTTCGAGTTCTTACTATAGTGCGTGGCTTAAGGACTGGAGAGTGATAGCACTAATACTATGACTAGAATTATTGTACATATTTTAGCAGCAGAATTTGATTTCTCAACCTTGACAGACTTCGAAGGCTTCCTGCCTCCTTCTAGAATAGGAAGGAAATGATATGCTATGGCTGGATAATACCGGCAAATATGAGGTTTATACCTGCTCCCGTTGAGTATTCGGAGAATTCCGGTGATTCGTCGATGAATCCAGCCTTGATATATATTATAATGCAGGCACAAGCAAAACACTACAGTCTTTACCAAGTCTCACCTCGAAGTGGTCTATAAAAGCATCGTATTCCCAAACGTAGCTTTTCAGCCTTGGATTTGTTATTAAGTGCTTTCCCCTCGAACGAGCATCTGATACTTTTACAAGTGGTATATACCGCGTAGGCCTCATATAACATGTGAAAGAAAAGTCCTCCATTATATAAAGAATAAAAGCAGTACTCCTTCGCTTTGTTTGAGGAATATTGGCGTTCCATGATATCTCCGGGTTATTCCTGAGTAATATGGCTACAAACATATATAAAATAACTAATACAGCAGCATGATAATGTGCTCCCACCAATCTGTTCGAGTCGCCTCATGTCCTCTCTTTTCAACCACAACCTTCATACTAATGTCCAGCTACTGCAGCGACTCCAGTCACACCATGGAGTGGGAAGAGGCATATGAGTACAGAGAATCCACGGAGACCAACGAACTCCTCGAGTTTAATACTGCTATACAGACCATCGAGCCCGTCTGGCCAATCCTACCCCTTAATCTCAAGCGATACTTCCCAACCAGCGAGAGCGAGAGCTACGAGTTTGAGAACTTCGAAGTCAGCCCCGATCCAGAAGAAGAGAACGAGCTCTTCCAAGCCCAAAAGCTCTATTTCCGAGATGTTGCCAACCGCACCAAGCGATACCTCTGCTTGATAATTATATACGGCCATTCCTCCCATGAAGAAGCATGCAAAGAAGCGTTACGGATATCCTGGCATCGCAACTGGAAGAAGACGTCCTCAAAGGCAATAATGGGGCTTATCATTGACGAAGAGAAACAGGCTTGGTTCCGGGGGAGTCACACTGACGAGACAAATATTAAGAAGATGGGCAGCAACTGGGTTGCGAATAATGAGTGTATGCTGAGAACGTACTTTCGTACTTTTCGGCGCGCGTTGAGGAGACATGCTCCTAGCCCGGGGTATGATCCTGCATTTGAGTCTGGGTCCGAAAGTGAGTTGAACTCTGTTATACATGTGTTGGTGTCGGATAAGAATATGGTTCTTCCTGTTCGTCCTGGTTCTGCGTTCTGGTCATGATCAGCTAGCTGTCTGCTCGAATTGACAGTTATGATGACTCAGATGAACCTGATGTTGATACTGGCTTGTTTGAATGGGATTGAGGTTGTTCCTTGCCTTGGATGTTTAATTGAAGTTCTGGTTTGGTTGTTGGTTTTGCTGTGATGATTCTAATTGCTCGTGCAGGGAATCATAAGGATATATCGGATTCGAGAAAGCAGCTGAGCGATAAATCATCGCTCTTGCTTGCTCTTAGACCACGCCGCCAGCCTGCTCGGCCAAACAAGGCTAGAAGTATACTCGGTGCTAAGGAGCATCTGAATGATGGTACTTCACTTGTGCTTGCTCTCAGAGCACGTCGGGATTCAGCTATATAATACTCAGATGCTTTTGAGCATGTTTTGTTGATGGTACAAATATTTACTTGGCAAAACATTCCTATATAATCTTTTTAGGACATCAAAACAACTATTATAATTACATTTAAACACAATATCTAAAACTCTTATCCCCTGTAGCTCGCTGGATAGATATAGAAACAGAAGCACAGACAAATATATCACGTGACACCATCCCAATCACCCATCATCGAGATATTCAACGAAGGAACGCCCTTTTCCACTACAATACACCCAAGAACCCGATCCCAGTCCAAACCCAATCATCCGAAAATTCCCCATTCCAAATCCTCCATCATCACCACTAGAATCCTGCCCGCCAAGGCATGGCAAACACTTGCCGTCCCTATCCCATCATATCATCAGGTGACACCCTACCCAACCCACTTACTAACTATCCAGTGAACTACTCAGCAGCCATTCACGCCACCAAGCCACCGCGGTAGCCTGCTCGCTGCCCAGCTAGCTACTAGTCAGTAATTCTGAAGGAGTCCCAAACGAACCTTCTTTCACCTTCCATAAGACAACATGATCCATGCAGAAAGCAAAAACCGGATGGGAGTATGGTACTTTTGTTTCTACTTGAGTTGAGTTGCTGCCCAAGTTACGGGATGTACTATAGAAGGATTGGTCGGGGATGTGTGTGGGTGTATGGGTAGTGGGTGTATATTAGGCACTCTTACTTTTTTCTGTTGTTTGCGGGTACGGATTGGAAGTATGGGAAAGCAATGGAGGGGATGATGGTTGGTGAGGAAGAGAGGAAATGTGGAGTGGGTAGGTAAGTAGGTGAGTCATAGTGTATGTAGGTGATGATGATTATACACTGTTAACTACGGAGTATGTTTTTGAGTGTTGGGAGGTAGATAGGTAGAGAAGTAAGTATCTGTGTGTGTATGTGTGTGTGTGTGTGTGTGCTTTTGTTGGACTTAGCAGTGATGGAATAGAAGTCTCTACTTAGTCTACATACTAGCATACATACATCAACTACATACAGATCTAGTGAACTTCATTTACCTAGTTACTTACTTACTCATGTCTCACTAATCAATAACTACACAGTAACATCATCAGATCTACTATGGAATTCCCCATCAGTACCCAACCGCGCGACACATAATACTCCCACCCACAGTAAGTAGTAAGTAGTAGAAGTGGGTCAAAGAGACTACTACACTCACTCACACTCGGTCGGTCAATCGGCCGACCGGCCGACCGAGCGGCGCCTCCGAAAACCAGATCAGGTCATACATACACTGAGTCAAGAAGAAAAAAAAAACATTTCATTCTGAGGAGGAGGGGGACGGGCGTGGTTACTGTGAAAGCAAATCCAAGGCAATTGCCAACTTCTGCACATTGATTGGATAGAAAGCTGTGCGCTGGGCTGAATAAGTATTCGTTTATGGGGGATGTTATTGGCTGTGCCTCAGACGGTTTTTAAATTTTGTTCCCCGCAATTGTTGGGTTAGTTTCTTGCTTGGTGGATTGGATGGGATGGGATGGGGCTGTGTATGTTGTATGTATTTGGGTTGTATGGGTGGATGTGTGGTATTGCGTGGGATGGGATACATAGGATGAGAGAATGGGTCTACTTTGTGGAGTCTTTTGGGGTTAGCTGTTATATCTATTTCCTTGTTCATATTACCTGATGCTAGAATGAGAAGGAGAGTAAGGGAGGTATCACTATCAAACAGAAGTAACCGTACACTGATTACTCCTTGATGGGGTGTACTGTGTACTGTGAACAGCAGAGACAGAAAATACACTAAATTAGATCAGTGGAGACATGGGGGATACTGTGCCCGCTTTATGCAGGCAATCGAGAAATAAGCGGCTCGCTAGGTAACTAAGTGTAGGCAGGTCAGTCCGTAAGTAGTAAGTAACTAAGTAACTACCTGAATAGGTAATTGGATTGACGAAGCAACAGAGTTGATCTACATATACGAATCGGGGTTTCTGATGTATACATTTTTCCCATCATGGTCACTCTACATACCTACGTCCGTTGAGATTGGATTCCATTCTGGGATATTATTAACAGTGGTCTGTCTTTATCCTGGCTTGACACATTGCTTGAAGTAATAGAAGTGGCTATGTTGCGTGAAAGATACTAATGCCCTATTGGGTAAATAGTAGATAACTTTCACTCACTCACCATGGAATACTGCCATTCTGCATGCACATGCTCACTACAACATTCTAGCTAGTACACAGCCATAAGCAGCATTCACTTACAGTGTAAAGGGTGTAGAATGCCACCGAACTTCCTGGAACCGGACTCAGACCTCATCGTCTCATGCAAGTTACAAATCAGGGCCGTGCGTTAGTTATATCATAGGCCTGAGTGGTCGGCCAACACTTGTGGTCAATCCATCCTAAGAGCTTAGACTAACATTAGTGTGTTGGGATGTACCTTGCCTACCTACTTAGCAGGTTAATCCTAATATACTTGTCACTACTATGAGCATCAACTTCATCGCTCTCAACCGACGGACAAAGTTAAAGTTGGAACAGCGCTTACTATAGTAGGTACTGTAGCTGCCTATCCGCAGCAGGGGTTCGGCTGACTTGCCCGTTTTAGTGCGGAGAATGGTCAGGTGGTATACTGTTATTCTGGTTCGTGTTTCGTAGACAATGCCAATATACACTACTTACGCAATGTGTATTGTGTCTGTTTCTCAAGTGTCCATTGCTCCGTTATGGGAACCGGATTGGTGGTAGAGGAGCTGTGGACACCGGGTGGCGGAACGGAGCTCTGCTACGGTCGGATGTATACCGGATGCTCTTATGGATGGATATAGCTGCTTGATAGTCCTTAATTGTCGGGTTTATAGTGATAAAGCGATAGGATGGTGGGCAAATAGGCATCACCTTAACGTAGTCTGTATGGCGTGCCTATAGATTCGACCGTATTGACAAGCTAAGACCAAGCACATTCAGGTCTCCGTGTCACCTCCGCACTCACGCAAGGAGTAACGAGGAGAAGACGATTGCAGCGGATGAGGGTGGACAGACTGCGAGTCAAGAGATCTGCTCATTGTACTCGGTACGAGACTCCGCAAGGACAAGAATGGCGGGGTAGGTAGGTTGTAGAGTTTACGTGGACAGGCAGGCATAAGGCAAGGAAACTCGATCGTACACCCATCTCGCAAATGCACGCCTTGTTGATCTGAGCAGAAGGAGGAGGATGAAGAATTTAGGTGACCAGGACCGGCGGTTCGCTCCTTGTCTCTCTCCACTGGAATACGGCGGGAACACCCTTCCGTGGATCCACTTGTCCCGTTCACTGACTCTTCTGGTTGAGATGGCGCTGTTAACCTTCTCTCATGCAGTGGTTGGGCTCTTGTCCGCCCGCTTGCTGTGCTTGCTTTCTAAAAGGAAATTGGCACAAAGCAATGGCTCTCTCTCACCATGTACGTATACCCGATGCGGTAGAATATGGAGTGCAGGAGGGACTTGTCACGGCCATTCCGGTTGTGAGTGGGGCGTGTTTCAACCCAGGCATCGTCGCTCCATCGTGAATGCTTATTTTTCCCAAGCTGGCTAACTCCAATTCCCTGTTGTAGCAAATTGATCGTGAGGAGTGCACTTGCAGCGTCAGCACCTGCTGGGCTTTCCGGTGACCGGGCACGAGTGTTGGTTAGCCATCGTGACTAACAGAAGCTAGGCGGCCTAGTTTCTTGTACCTGCCTGGCCCCAAGACCGGCTTGACTCGTAGAAAAACGAGAACTCGTGGGCTGGGAGAGCATAGCGCAAACTCTCCAGCTTCAATAGCACCCGAACAGGTGCTGGGTACATACGAGGTACTGTAATCTTCGTTACGGATTTCCCCATTGGGCGATCCGCCTTCTCCCACGACGCTCTCTCTTTTGCTGTCTCTCGGGCGAGTGCCAGAGAGAGAATCCACTCATGACCTTGGCTCTTACACCAAAAAAAAGCCATCATTATGGCCATCTGACCATCCATGATCATCAAGCTTAATCGCTAGAGCGAACCAGACGAGTGCTAAAGTGAAACCGGCGACACGCGGATAAATCAACGGAAAAGGGGAAAAAGCGAGGCACGGTCGGACCCAGAAGCCTAGTCCACTTTGTAAGTAGTGGGAAAAAGAATACGGCGCCAGAGCCTCTCAAGCTCCGAGCTCGAGCTCCAGCCAGCCTAAGCTCCAGCTCCACTTCCGAATTCGTCGTCTGGCAGATGGCGCGGACGACTACTCTTCGCCAGCCGTTTCGAATCACCGTCAGCCGTGAGGTCCAAGCCCTCGGAAACATAGTCCTCCAATAAAAGGCCGCTGTCTCCTCATGTCAGGGAAAGCTGAACATCTGATGAGAGGGGAAAGACAGAGTGGGAGGGAAAGGTCGAGTGAGGAGACCACCTGCGATGGAGGACAGACCGTTGACCAGGACCCTCAACACGGCGATCCGTCGGTCGCGATTTCATTTGTGTACTGCCTGGAAGTAAGTAGGTATGATTAGTAGTATTGGTAGTATGACTATGAGCGTTTACAGAACAGCTAGTTGTAGTACCTAGTCCTACTACAGAGTCATTTTCAGGCTGCCTCTGCCTATTTTGCACGGAGCCTTTCCGTAGTGCCGTGAGCATAAACAGGGAACCAGTCGTCCATGACAAGATCACAGACCTGCCAGATTGAATTTGTCTTCGGTCACGGGAAGAGATGTAATACATCCAGTGCCTACAGGAGCCACTTCCAAGCCATCCGTGCCTGCTTTGGGGGACAGATGGGTTGGCGGTCCTGGATGGAAGATTCATCTGCAGTGCCTTGAATGTCCGTGCTGGGGCGCACAGGAGAGAAGATCTGGCCCACTTTTCCCCAGATTGTCAGGGTGAGGGCTTTTCTGGCCTTCCATTCCTGTTGCCGTCTGTAACACAACCATGGCATGCTCGGAGGGGCATGTCAATCCTCGCTAATTACCGTCCCCGATCTGCTTTCACGAATAGCTCACGCAGTATCTCTCAGCAGTCTGGGGAAAGATCGGACGACTCGAAAGGGGGGCGTCAGACTGGTCAGACGGATCGCAATGCAGGGAGGACAAGAGCTCCAAGACTAGTGCCTCAAGGGAATTTGGCCTGTGGTGTCACTGCCCGAGCATCTGGCCATCTCCGCACTTGTCCAACACCGGCTGATGAGACCTAAGAGAAAGAGAGGGCGGGAGCCCAGAAGAGAGAGAGCGCAGTGTCCAAGGTCGTCGTAGCGTGGGGTGTGGCGTCCAGCTGAGCCCGAGCCGTGTCATCCCGGCATGCAAGTAATACATAAGACCGACTAGAACGCTACGCCCCGTCATCACCACCGTCATCGGCGTCGCTCTTCCACTGCAGCAGGGCTGTCCGCGAACACATGGTGCATTCAATGCTTCAACGTGTCCGGTCTGTATGTAAGAGATGAAAGAAAGACCTGGTTTCTCTCCTCTCCTTTCGATATGCTAGAGATAGATCGAAATGCGTAGTTGCTTTTTTTGGTAGACTGATCGTCTGGTGTGGTTTTTTGGGGGGGCCCCGAAGATTTACACTGGGAGAAGACAATCCTCCCGTTCTGTTCCACCAAATATTATCAGGGGACCGGGGGAAAGTTAACTAACTATACGAGAGCGATATTCCCATGATCACGGTCAGTCGGTTGCTGGTTCCCACAGCAATACAAGCAGCAGCACCACCACCTCCTTCCCCTCCACTGCCACCAGCTGCACATACCGATGCGAGGCTACTCCATGATCTGGACCTGCTTCCCGCTGGCATTGTGTCATCAGGACGGATTCGGGGGTTTCCAGCTGCAGTTCGCAATCAAGGTGACGAACTCTCTCATAGCGACGCGGCCCTGTACGACTGTGGAAGGTTGCCAGTCAATCTGGTTGTATGGAGTCGGCAATAGCCTCACCGGATGGAGCAGATCCTCCACGCAAGCCAGTCGCTAGTTGCTTCGTCCATCACTTAGTGGGTTTTTCTCTAGTCTTACAGGCTGCCGGGCCCCTGGGAGGGAGCAGAGGGGAGGGGAGGACCATCCATTGCATTTTGGACGGGTCTGGGGAATCACCCACACCGGCCGGTCGCCAACCGAAAGGTGCGCCCAGCAGGATCTAGTGGTGAGCGACGAGGATCATCCGTCCGGCGACCTTTCCCAGGGTGCACCATCCATGCGTAGGGAAGGTTTATTCTGGATGGGGACCCTCCCAGCTGGGGCTGTTCTACTGGGTAAAAACAAATTTCTCATTCGAGCAGCATCATTTGCTTTTGCGTATCCACCGCGCTGGGGAAGAAGTGGAAGCTGTAGGAACTGGCACTAGGCACTCGGCACTAGGGAAGACGACGAAAATCAGGACGCCGAAGAGAATCGCAGGTTAACCTAGTGAAGTTTAGCATGGCTTTGGCTCGCTTCTTTGGCGTTTTTCTCCGTCCGGCGAGGGGCCAATCAGAGTGCAAATGCGCACTGGCTTGGCGTTCCTCGACCCCCCCGCATCCATGTTAGAGTTTAAAAAAAGCGCAGCCCGGGACGGGATGGATGGATGCCCTACTGACCCTGTCTTTTTCTCTCTTTTTTTATTCTTTTTCTTTTTCTCTCAAATCTGTTTGATTTTCTTGATCATCATTCCTAGTTGTTTTAGAGATGATTGCTGTTCATTTACCCGCTATGTTAGAGGATACAATAAGAGGAAATCGCCCTAGAATACTCAAAGCAGTACTGGTCAAACTGCCGGTATAGTTAGTTGTCTTTGTCTGGCACGCTGCGGAATCTCCGAAAGTGGGCTTGGCTCTGGCGCGCATTGTTGTCATTGTCACGGTTAATTATTGCGATTCTCCCCAGACAGGAAGCATTGATCACAAAGTTTGCCTAGTTTGGATGCCCTCTTGATGGGGTCCACTTCCATGCCTCCAATCACTCCCCGACCGATGAGGAGAAGAGAATGAACCAGAGATGAGCAGGAGGATACTAATGATAATCCTAATGTTGGGAAGTCCCCATCAGCATACATCACGAGAATGTTGCTCCCCAGGGAAATGTTTTTGGTTTTTCCACGACACCCTAAGAGCTATTTTACTTATTTGTGCCGTTATTATTGTTCTTGCGCACGGTAACTTAGCTCCTGTACTTATGTCAGTAGTAGTCGGACGGGCTCCGGAGGGTCAGTCAGTCCATAGCTCAACCATCAGAACTATAGTAAAAAAACAAGTGGTAGCAAGTAAAGTAGTGAATCAACCAAAATGACGAAGAATTATAATTATAATTCTCATAATACTCCGGTGCTGCCAGAAGTACTAACTAAATTCTACTAACTTTTCTCCTCCTACTATTATTACTGCTACCCTCTCGACTTGCCCACTTGGGTTGGTTACCTTTCCGTCTTGCCATCCATCCCCCTCCAAACCATCCATTCACAGAGAATTACTGTTAATACCTTGCCCCATCCCCATCCCCATCGCCATACCTGTCCATACAATACGGATTGTCAGGAACATTATTCATTCCTATGACTACTGTTCGGAATCCTATTGAATAATTAGAAAGACCAAAAAACCCAAAAACCTTCTTCTGGTTCTACTACCTCTTGCCAGTAAAAAAAATACCATACTATTACTTATATTAAATCGCTTCCCCATCCTTCCTTCTCCCCGATCTTCAAATTCAGCCTCGTTTCAAGAGGAAAGATTCTCTGCCTCTGCACTCCCACTCTCTCTACCCACGGACGATCCACTACTCCTACTACCACTACTATTACTATTCTTACACTAACAGCTAACTGATTGACTGATTGACTGATTGAAACCTGCCTTTCCCCATCCACTCACACCACGAATTCCTCCTGCTAAACTACGACTAATCTCCCTCGGGTCCAATCCGTGCTTCCACTAAATCACAGCCAAGTCTTGAACTGCTCCCCACTCCAATCATAATTACTCTATAGGGAGATTCTTTATCCTCATTCACTTCTTCACCTTCCCCTCCTTAAAAAGACCTCCCCAACAACCTCCTTCTTAAACCACCTCTTCTCCCCCTCCCCATCGCCGAAGCATTGTCGCCCGTCTACCCCTCTTCCTCGCGCTGGTCCAAACTTCCCGACCAACCAACCAACACATTGCTCTTCCCGTTCGCTCGCCTTCCTTTCCTCCTTCTCCCACCCCCTCTTTATCGCCCTCCTCTTGTCTATCTCGCAATCATAGCGCACCTCAGCTTGAGGTGTGTATGGGTCAATGTTGTCCATGCAGAAATCCCACACCTATGTGCTCCCTCCATCCACCACCTATAATAATGTCACCGGTCTCCCTCACACCATGCCATCGGCCAACCCGCCAGCTGAGCGTCGCGACTCCACCCGCTCGGTCATGTTGACGGACGTCCCCGCCCTCGGCGACTGCCCATTAGTAGACGACTCGTCACTCTCGCACCGAAACAGCATCAGCACCACTGACGGCATATCTAATGATTCGCCCGCCTCGTGGGATGGCGACGCCCCCTCCGATAATTCTCCCTCTGCCGAGGTCGACGTCAAGATTCAAGACGGCTTACACCATCCGTTTCCAACGACCGCAGACACCTCGCCGAAAACCTTCCGATTCAACGTGATCGCATCCCACGGCATGGACGCTTCCATGGACGAGGTAACACCCAAGATCGAGGAGATAGATGATGTGGACGAGTTGCAGAGCATAAAACCGGTGGGAGTGGAGACATCGATGGCCAATGCGAGTTCTACCCATCCGGATTCCACGGCTGCTCCCGTCAACGTCCCACGGAAACGTGGACGACCACGCAAACATCCGCTGCCAGCGCCCGGGAATCAGATCAAAATCACCAAGGGTCGATCCAAAACGGGTTGTATCACTTGTCGCCGGCGGAAGAAGAAATGCGACGAGACCAAGCCAGCGTAAAGCTCCCGTCCTCCTTTGACTGGTCCATCCTGTGTCGCAACGGTCGCAGTGGTTAACTTTCTTTCCCTTCCTGCAGGTGTCTCAACTGTCAGAAGAATGCCGTGGTATGCGAGGGCTACCCGCCAAAAGAAATATGGAAGAGTGGTAAGCAGAAGCTTGAGGATGGTAAGTGCACCTTGGACCGTGGCATGCTCGAGCTGCTTTGCTGTGCGTATTTACTATTCCTGGTTGCTTATCCGGCGCCTTTGATCCAATCACCTTGACACTTGTGTGAACGTTCTGACGCCTTAGTTTCACAGCAGTTCGCACCCAGAACATGGTTGCCCGCTCTCTACCTCTGCTTATCGACGGCATCGAAACCGAGATTGACCGGCGCTTCCTCGATCATTTCGTCTACGGCTTTAGTCGCGTTTTGACCCTGATCAACGATGACTCCAACCCGTTCAAGGAGATCTTGCTCCCGATGGCCACTCAGCACCGGGGTTTGATGCACTCGCTCATGTGCCTCTCGGGATCGCACCTGTCGGGTCTCCATCATGTTCCAATGTTGGAGGAGCGAAAGTTCTATCATTACCACCGCGCTATCAGGGATCTCAAGGACAATATCACAGCGTCTTCAGGTAATTCTGAGCAAGACCCTGAGCTTCTTATCGAAGATCCCATCATCGCATCCACAATTGCTCTCAGCTTGAACACCATCTGTGAAGGGGAAACCAAAGGGGAATACAGACCCCACATGGATGCCGCCCGGTATTTGCTGTCGACACAGCAACCGAGGAATGAGAAGTTCCGGCAGTTTATTGTCGAGTTCTTCCAGTACCATGATGTCTCCAACTCCATCACTTCGCTGGATCGCCGCCCCGCCCATCTGCAGGGCGGCTTACGGCTGCCTGACTTTGTGCCACACGCGCAGGCAGGGATGTTCCTTGGAGTCTTTGATGGTCTATTCAATTATATCTCTGAGGTAACTCGAATTCGTGACCGGATTCGACAGCGGTCCAATGAAGGATACGAGCCTGCTGTTGACTACCAGATTCTGGGCGATGCCGTCTCCATCGACTCCGCCATTCGAGCTTGGGAGACCTCGTATACGCCCAACACGCCAAACTACTACCTGGCGCAACTATATCGCCAGTCCACCTGGGTCTACCTGTACCGCACCATCCGCCCGTCCCGACCAAGCGAGAAAATTGCACAGGTTGTGGACGATGGACTTTCTTTCCTGGATCAGCTGCCTCAGGATGCAGGCGCCTACAGTATTGTGCTGATGCCACTGTTCCTCTTGGGCTGCTCTGCCTTCCTGCCCCGCCAGCGGGAGAGGATCAAGAAGGGCTTTGAGACCCTCAAGGGCTACTCCAACCTCCGCAACATCGAACCCGCCTTCAAGGTCGTTGAGCGAGTGTGGGAAGTGATGGACACGAAAATGGAAGAAAGTTGGGACTGGGAGAAGATCATCAGCGACATGAACATGGATTTCTTGATCACCTAGGCTACTTGCCGCTTCTATTTGCAATTTGCATGTTTTCTTTTTCGGTTCGGGCCGATTGCATGATTCGTCGTTCTTACTGGCGACGAACTTTTCGTTGGTTCTCCGAGTCATTCGATGTATGTATCTCTTTCTTCCTTTCTTTCCTTTTTCTTCTTCTTTTTCTTTTCTCCTATTCTTTTTCTTTTTCTGGTCTACCGAATGGCGAACGGGCAACAGAACCCAAGTGGAGCAGCCTCAAAGCGAGACGGACGGACATGGCGTCAGCGGGCATGGATAGGGGCACAGTTCCGTATACCAACATACCAAAAGGGACACTGGCCGGTCGGAATGGTTCTTTGAGATGTACTTATATATATGACGGAGTATGCGTCTGATGAGTCGTGATGATATTTTTCTTCTTTCTTTTTTATTCTTGATACATGTATAAGATTACTGCCTTTGTATATACAGATAGTTAAGATTATGATATTACCCTTTACCAAGCCTGGATATACTGAATTTCACACAGAATCTTCCATCAACCCTAGCAGTAGCTACAGCGGACTACCCACTAGTCAGCTACCGACCTACCAATGAACCCAACAATACCACCAAGCTACCCAAGGCAACCTTACAGTAGGTCGGTCCAATTTAACTTCCACTGACATCTACTAGTTAAGCTTCTCCCCTTTCCGTTCCACTGTGCAAATACATTCCTGTTCCTGAATATGTTTGCTTTTGTTTTATTTCCTTTTTTTTCCTTTTCCCCTTCTTCTCCTTATCATCATCATTGCTTTTTTCCCTTCATTTTCTTTTCCTTTCCCCTGCATTCTGCAAGTTGATATGTGTATGGTCGTAGATAAGCCCCCGCTAATCTCTTCCCCTCTTCGGGATTTGAACTTACTGATACTAGTAGGAACCAGGATCAGGTTGGAATCCGGTTGGGCACTTATCGCTCTATTCCCCCATGTAGATAGATAGATACATAATAGATAGCTTGGTTGAGACATACATTAGTGAGCTAATGTAGTTAGTATCCAGCTCAGCTCGGCGAGTTCGTTATAAGGGTTAGGTAGTTGCTGAGTAGCTGAGAAAGGAAATTAAGTGACGATCGTGATTGTGGTTGTGATGTTAGTTGGTGATGGTTGGAGGTTCTTTTGCGTGTAGATTGTTTGATTCTGGTAGAGTGGATCGGTGCTATGGGTAGGGGGGAGGTGATTACGGAGATAGATTATCATTGAGTGAGCTGTGTGTGTGCGCAAAGTACTGGAAGATATCAACTACAAGGAAACAAGTCTATTCTATTCGATTCGATCTATACCTGTATTTATGGATAAAGCACCAGTCATCTATAACAGCTAGGTGAAGTCTGAATCAACCTGGATGGTTACGTTGGGAGTTTTGATGTGTGCAACGGGAGATAGATACTATCTATCCATTACTGCATAGTCCCATAGTCAAGGCCCGGTTCCTCGGTCGGGACAGGTTGCATGTGTTCTGTTGTTCGAGGGCCAGTGTATCTCCTATTTACTAGTCAGTGACCACTTTCTTTTCTTGAATTTACGTGAAGAGATAAAAAGATATACTCACCCCCTCGCAGCAACCCACCACCAAACCAGCGAAAATGCAGCGATGGAAATACCAACGCAGATGCCGTAGTTCCTACCACCAGTTAGATCCGTCTGAAGACTTCATTGAGGGGATCTGAACGCACATATTCGACACCGTCACCGGCACCGTCGGCGGAAAGAACAGCACCGAGCTGATAAACACAACCCATATCACCGAGATCCAATTAATGTAAGGTCCCCATCGTCCCAGTGTAAACGGCCCCTCGATGAACTTCACCTGCTTTCGGTATATCTGGTGGGCTAGGATGACGGACACGTAGGAGAGGTCCAATGCCGGCGCAGTGATGCTGAAGATCGCGGTGGCGGTGTGGGTCGAGCCGATGGCAATGCAATTCAGGCAGATGCTGAAGAAGACGACGAACCAGACGGCGTTGACGGGAGTTTGGGTGTATGGGTTTACTTGGGAGAGGAAGCTGGATGGTTCGTGGTGTTAACAGTCTATCTTGCTTCGTTGGATGAGGGGTTAGTGTGGGGAACGTACGACGAAAAGGGTAGGGCTTCGTCACGAGCAAAAGCGTAGGCCATTCGAGTGTCTGCTAGCATGGCAGAGCATCCGGTGAAGAACTGTACGAGGATTGCTAGTCCCCACATGGCTGAACCGCCTACCTTTCCTCCGGCGTTGAGGAAGATCTGGGCTGCTGGGAGGCCAGTGGGGGTATTGAGGATGTCATCGAAATCGGTGAGACAGAAGCACATTGATATGGTTAGGATCCAGCCGAGGATGCCAGATACAATCACGGCTGATTGGATGGCTAGGGGACCTAGGGCTGCTGCATTGTGGGTTTCTTCGGACATGCTGGGACTATGTGTAAGCTGGTCTGGGGAATTTAGCAGATATAGAGTGTGCTCACTGTGTAGTTCCGTCGTAGTCGGTCATTGTCCATGCAACAGAGATAAACCCTAGTAGGAAGGAGAATACCTTTGATCCCCATCCGGACCCATCAGTGAAGTGGGTGAACACCCAGATGGCTGGTTGCTTATTGGGGGTGAACCATAACAGGGCGAAGCAGATACAGAAAGTCGCGGCGACTAGCTGGTCAGCTGTGTCCAACTTCCATGAGAAGATGACATACTGTTTATCGGAGCGAACCAAAGGAAAATTTGGTGCAGAGACTTGGTGGTCATCGAGCAGATCACACCCAGTACACAGAGCAATATCACGGACAAGAGCACCGTATCCAACGCGGAACTGTCTCGTTAGTCAAGACAGTAGGCATGCTACGGCAAGAGACCTACGGTGAGTACGAATACTTTCCATCCACAAGCTCCGAATTCATGCTCGCGCAGGCAAGTAACATCTGGCTGACAGTATAGGCGACACTGGATACTCCCGCCGTCTGTCCGAGGAGGTTACACCATCCCTGTACCCAGGAGAAGATGGGTACATGTTCATCTGGGACTACATGCTTGGTGACAAAGTACATGCCTCCGGCAGTAGGATATGCAGAGACCAGCTCTGCGACCGAGCTGCCGATACACAAGGCCATGCAAGAGCCCACAAACCAACACCATGTTGCGGTTGCTGGACCTCCTGCAGACAGGGGAGCTCCGAACGTGGCGGGAACTGAGCCTAGAATGCCTAAGATGGAAATGGCATAAGAGACGGTGGACCATTTTGAGAATTCACGTTTCAATTCCTAAAGAGTCAAAAGCCAGCCGATGGATCCAGGAGTTTGGGCCATACCTGTTTGTAGCCGATGCGGGCCAAGAGAAGCTCGTCATTGTCGTGGATGGTGGCCATCGCACTGGGAGCGTGGATATAGTTTCGCCCTAGGATTGAACGAAGCAACGAGGGCGAATGGTGGGTTCGAATTCGGTATTCAAAGTAACTCTGTAGATTCCGATCAGTGATCGTCGGGATCAGTCGATGCGGAACTCACCCGTCCAGATGCCGATGAAGAGTCGGTGAGAACCCCGCGAGGACCACCACGAGCACGGAGGACGAATTTGGGGTATTACTGAGGGTGAGCGAAAGGATGCGAGAATTAATAGATAGGCAACAAAGTGGTCATAAAGTTTGACGAAATTTCATCGCTAGTCAAAAGGAATTGGAGATCCAGCAGAAGTGGCTGGGAGGGGGCAGATGCATGATGCATTCTTATCGGGGCCGGACTGACAAAACCCAGCAAGGGCATCCCTACACCTCCTACTCCTATACTCCGTATATCACAAAGACATCCCCGCAAAACCTCTCGGGAAACCCTGGGTAATGGCGTCTGATTGGGATTTGCTTCTTAGGTTCTCGAGTTCCAATAATGCTATCCTTTACCGAGCCACGGCCCCCCGCGCATCGACTCGGTCAACTACAGAGGTCAAGCTATCATACCAGTGAGTTCCTACAAATATTACAGCTTTGATTCCCTGATATCAGAGATAACGCTACCTATAATGTCTTAGATCTCTGAAGCTGCTGACTGCAGCAATATGAGTGGAGTCTCGGAGTACGCCCTAAGCGGCGCATGCAAGATTGGATCCAAGAGCTCATAGGAAAGCGACAGTGACGAATTGTGATTATTGCTATGATAGAAACTGTCTGTGATGACTTACTTGAATACACCGGCTTGTATGTTCAAAGCATACATCTCTTTACTGAGCGAGTTCGACATTCGTTGATGCTTCATTATTATGAGGTAGCCAGACAGTAACCCCATAAACAGCAAGAGAAATGCCAGTGATTCGATATGCTCCAGCTCTTATCATACTCAGTCAATTACAAAGGTTCCGACTGGCCACTTCTCTGAAGTAACTTCCTTATAGGCATCACTCTCCAAGCGTTTTGTCACCGCCACTCTGACAGAGTCGGAACCGTAGTATCTGTGAGGGCTAAGCCGCAGCAACCCAACTCTACGATAATGATGTGGTCCCCTGTTGTTGGTTGCATTTCTCGGTTGAGGCTGTAGGATGAGGAGATATAGCGCTGGTGGAACAGTTCGAGTCTCTTCTGCGATGCGGATAAAAGTGAAATCCGTACTGCTGCTCGGAACGATAACAGAGCCGCTCGTTTCCGTTCCTGCGAGGTAGCCAGGTCTCACAAGGGCGACCTGCGCCAGCTCCCTCAGGCTTGGCAATGGACTAGGTCGCATAAGGGCTCTCTGTGCAACCCTCACGGGGTTCCATTGGGACTTGGAATAGCCATCGAGTTTCAAATGGAGGTGCCGATACGGCGCCTCTAGGGTAAGTTCCGCGCCCTCTACATGGCCGAAGACGCCTTGAAGCTGGCCATGGACCTTAAAATCAAGAATAAAGGCAAAATAGGTATAGTCCTGCAGCCATCTCAACTGTCCCAACTGGGGCCACTTCAAATCGACATAATTATCTGCCCCTATCCAGCTCCAGGACGGCTTGCGTTGCTTCGAAGAAACACCCACCGGAGCATATCTTTCTTTATTATGTTTGTATTGGTAGCTGAGGTTCCGAACCTCAGAGCGTTTAGCAGTGTCAGCATGCGGTCCTGGGTAGTGCCCATTACGGTGAATGCTCCATAATAAGCCAAATCGGAGGTCCTCCCTCCACAATCCCGCGCAGTACTGTTCTCTAAACTGTGCATGGAAGAACTCGGCCAATGCTTCGATCGCCGGCAAGCGATCTCTATCGAATTTGAGATCCCGTGATACATAAATTTCCAGCAGCAGGTACCAAATCCGATAGGGATCTGACATGGAATCTGCGTATAGTTGTTCTGGCTTAGGCAGAGGAACCGGTAATGGCGGTGGTATCTCTATGTAAGAAGTAGTAGTGGGTTTCAATTCTGGCTCCCTGAACGTCACAGCGCGGCATTTCCAGACCATCTCTTCTTTAGTGTAATACAAGATTCGTTTCGATAGTAATTCCTCTTGGAATGTCCAGCCTCTGGTAGCCCAGCGCGAAGACCGTGCCGGCTCCTTGTTAAACGTATCCGTGTAACTCCGAAGAACAACAGGATACGCTCGGGAAGCATCATTGACGCTACCTTGGTGGGATCTTCGACGCCAAGGGAAAGGGCAGCTATAATACGGTGCCCTTTTGTCTAGGAAACCAGCGTCCGCCGTTTCTGCGCTCGTAGCGGCAATGGTGACAGCTGCATGTCTGTAGATGCGGCTCATTCTCGAGGCTTCGACCGCCCAGTCATTAATGTTATCTTGAAAGATACAGAGGGAGTCGATCCATAAGTAGCGGAATCCCAGTGCTCTTGTCACGAGGACAGCGTCCCGTAGAGTGGCTGGAAAAGTCGCCAGAGACTGTCCGCTGCGGAGATCGTCGAAAGACGAGGCATTGAGAGTGAAGTTGGAGTCTCCGCCCCAGCAATAGCTCAATGCTGCCCACTTCCCAGTTTCACCATCTGCACTGACGTGTAAATGTGGTTGTGTGAGTGAGTCCCCTACGTCAATGACACGTGTGGGAAGAGAATGCGCTCCATCTTTGTATCCTTCGCATTTTGCATGCTTCCGGCAGCATTTATCTAGCCAACTGGCCGCCAGAGAGAGACACATCTCAGAGTGCAGATCAAAAGGCAATTCGTCACGACCGATATCTTTAAGGAGATGTGCGTCTCTCTTTGGTAATTCTGCGCCTTTTCGGCGTTAGCGTACTCTCACAGCCTCCCAGTCTCCGGGTACCTACCCTTAGCAGTGCATATGTTCAACTTTGCCATTACTCCGACATCCTTGCAGATATTCGGGTCCCGCTCCCCATTATCATCTGGCATGACTACAATTACCAATTGAAGGTAGCGATGAAGACCAAAATTCTCATGGACAGAAAAGAGCAGTGGCCCTCGACATTTCTTACATGCGCAATCATCCCTCTCGTGCGTTTCAGCGTCAGTGCAGTATTTTATGTCACTATTTTGGGACCAGAAGTGGCAATGATGTGCCCAAACCATTCTGCAAAACTCACAGCCATCTTTCACAGCATTTTGAAGAGCGGTGATGCTCGCGTGGTGAGCCTGAAACCCCTTGGATTTAAAAATATTGACGGAAAACCCGCCAGTCCAAGGACCGCTTATTGGATAGAGTTCACGCGTATTGTGGTAAGATCGCAAGAGATTTCGGAGGTCGATGTTCTGACAGGCATCGCATAACTTCATCTTTCAAAAGGATAGACGATGTCTATTACAACACAACGATGACAGTCTGATTTGGATCAACTATAACATTTTCAGAGAACACTAGTATCTGAGGGCCACCGTCGGATGAACAGTCCAACAGAGATAAGCAATCCCGGGGATTTATGATACCCTGCTGTGACCAGGAGCCCAATGACTGAACCATCAATTAAAGTTGGGCAGATGTATACAACGCGCACTGCGCGACAGTTCCTGTCGTTCACATGAGCCTTTTCGAGCCGGTTTTTGCCGCCGACTCAAGTACCCTAGTCGAACCAACTAATCTGTAAATACCATAGACACCAAAATATACATAGTAACCTATCTTATGGACTAGGAATCAGTCGTAACTTTATAGTTGGCTGTACCTGAGTCCGGGCGTCCAGATAGACCACTAATGCCAGAAATGTGGCCGCTGAGATAAGCAGGCGCTAGGCCGAGAGGGGGAAGCGGCCAAGGCCACGGGTTCTCCTCCGACGAGGAAGTGTTTAGGTGGTCAGTTGCGATTAATTGCTATACTTCCCCTTTTCCTGGTGCAAACCCTTCCCGGCTGTCGTCTTGGAGCATTTGGTGATGGTCCGTGGCTGACAGGGTTTCTCTTCGCCGGTGATCGATCCCTCTGTCCCCTCGTCCACGCTCGTTGATTTGCTTCCCCCGCGTTATGAAGCACTATGGCCGACCCCAACATGTATCATACCTACGGCCAGGCCCCGGTGCCTGGTGAAAACCCCTCCGATCCCAATCAAATGGCGTATCAGGTGCCTCCGCAAGGCTATCCTGCCGCCGGAATTCCTCCCGGCCCTTCGCCTCCCCAGCCCGGTGCTGCGTATGGAGTCCCTGCCCCTAATCAACAATGGCCCGCCTATGGCTCTCCCCCGCCAGCACAGCAGCCTCTGCAACAACCACCGTCACAATTCGCACACCAGGCCGATCCGCAAGCTGCAATGGGTGCCCCTGTGGACCCCGGAATGGCCGGGCTAGCATCCCAGATGAGTGGTTTGGGAATAATGGGAGGTGAAGGAGGAGCGGCCAGGTCGAGCAAGAAGAAGCATCGGCATGCGCATCACGAGATTGCTGGTGCTTCGGCATCAGTCGCGCAACCGTTCGCGGCTGCCCCCCAGGATCCCATGCAGCCAACCTCTCAGTTCCTGAACACCGGCTTGAACCAAGCACCTCGTCCCATCTCGCCCGCCGCGAGCATTCCCGCCCCCGTGAACCCAGCGTTCGGAGGTGGTGCCGGTGCAGTTCCAACACAAGGGAAGGTCGATCCGGAACAGATCCCCAGCATTCCCCGGTCTCGCGATTTGCCCGCACAATACTACTTCAACCATGTGTACCCGACGATGGAGCGGCATCTTCCCCCTCCAGCGGCGGTTCCGTTCGTCGCCCACGACCAGGGCAATTCGTCCCCCAAGTACGCCCGTCTCACCCTGAACAACATCCCATCCACCTCCGACTTCCTCTCCTCGACGGGCCTTCCTCTGGGCATGGTATTGCAGCCGTTGGCGCGCCTAGACGGCGAGCAGCCGATTCCGGTGCTGGACTTTGGCGACGCCGGGCCACCGCGGTGCCGCCGGTGCAGAGCGTATATCAATCCCTTCATGTCGTTCCGCTCCGGAGGAAACAAGTTTGTTTGTAACATGTGCACATTCCCCAACGATGTGCCACCGGAATACTTTGCCCCGCTGGACCCGTCCGGCTCGCGCATCGACCGCATGCAGCGTCCGGAGCTGATGATGGGAACCGTGGAGTTCCTGGTGCCGAAGGACTACTGGAACAAGGAGCCCGTCGGTCTTCAATGGCTGTTATTGATTGATGTCAGCCAGGAATCGGTGAACAAAGGATTCCTGAAGGGCGTGTGCAAGGGTATCATGGAAGCGTTGTACAGCGAGGAGACGGAGAACCCCGAGGATGAGGCCCCCGCACGGCGGATACCTGAAGGTGCAAAGATTGGTATTGTCACCTATGATAAAGAGGTGCACTTTTACAACCTGAGTGTATGTTTGAAACGCCCCTCTGTCGTTACTAAGCTTACAATTCCAGGCACAACTCGATCAGGCACAGATGATGGTGATGACCGATCTGGAGGAGCCGTTCGTCCCTCTCAGCGAGGGACTGTTTGTTGACCCCTACGAATCCAAGTGCGTCTCTTACATGAGTTTGGTTGAACTATGCAGCTAACAAGTCCAGGGATGTCATTACCTCTCTGCTGCAGCGCATCCCGAGCATCTTCTCTCATGTCAAGAACCCACAGCCAGCCTTGCTGCCCGCCCTCAATGCGGCCTTGTCTGCCTTGAGACCGACTGGCGGTAAGATCGTGGGCACGATCGCTAGCTTGCCCACTTGGGGCCCTGGTGCGCTGTCCCTACGGGACGACCCCAAGGTCCACGGCACCGACGCGGAGAGGAAGCTGTTCACGACAGAGCATGCAGGATGGCGTGAGACGGCCGGACATCTGGCCGAGGCTGGAATCGGACTGGACATGTTCATTGCGGCACCGAGCGGAACATACATGGACGTTGCTACGATTGGTGAGTTGACACGCGCTACCCCTGCCTGACTACGGCTAACGTTGGCAGGCCACATCCCTGAGGTAACCGGCGGTGAGACCTTTTTCTACCCGAACTTCCACGCACCTCGCGATATCCGCAAGCTCTCGAAGGAATTGGCGCATGCGATCACGCGAGAGACGGGCTATCAGGCCCTGATGAAGGTCCGTTGTTCGAACGGACTGCAGGTGTCGGGCTATCATGGCAACTTTGTCCAACATACCTTCGGAGCGGACCTCGAGATTGGAGCCATCGACGCTGACAAGGCTATCGGAGTGGTCTTCAGCTACGATGGAAAGCTCGACCCGAAGCTGGATGCCCACTTCCAGGCAGCCTTGCTGTATACCTCGGCTAATGGCCAGCGTCGGGTGCGGTGCATCAACACCGTGGCTGCAGTCAATGAGGGTGGTATGGAGACGATGAAGTTCGTGGATCAAGACGCAGTGGTCGCCATGGTGGCCAAGGATGGTATGTTTGCTACTGTCGGCAGGAACGATAAATGCTAATCAAACTACAGCGGCCTCCAAGACCCTAGACAAGTCCCTCAAGGACATCCGGGCTGGTGTCTCCGAGAAGACGGTGGACATCTTCAGCGGATACCGCAAGATCTTCTCCGGATCTCATCCTCCCGGGCAATTGGTGCTGCCAGAGAACTTGAAAGAGTTCTCGATGTACATGCTCAGCCTGATCAAGTCGCGGGCAATCAAAGGTAAGACCGCTCAATTCCCTTTTCACTCACCGTCCATCGGAAAAACGCGGTCGTCTGACAGCATGCAGGCGGACAAGAGGCGTCGGATCGACGCATTCACGACATGCGGATGCTGCGGTCCATCGGGTGCACGGAGCTGTCACTGTACCTGTACCCCCGCATAATTCCGATCCACAACATGCAGCCGACCGACGGATTCCCCAACGAACAGGGACAACTGCAAGTGCCCCCCTCGCTGCGGGCCAGCTTCTCCAAAATTGAGGAAGGCGGGGCGTACCTGGTGGATAATGGGCAGCAGTGCCTGCTGTGGCTGCATTCGCATGTGTCGCCCAACCTCCTGGAGGACCTATTCGGCGAGGGCCAGACGTCGCTGCAGGGGTTGAGTCCACAGATATCGACGATCCCAGTGCTGGAGACGCATTTGAACGCGCAGGTGCGCAATTTACTGCAGTACTTCTCAACAATCCGGGGATCCAAGGCCGTGACGATCCAGCTGGCGCGGCAGGGTCTAGACGGGGCGGAGTACGAGTTTGCGCGGATGCTGGTGGAGGACCGCAACAACGAGGCGCAGAGCTCAGTGGACTGGCTGGTACACATTCACCGGCAAATCAACCTGGAGCTGGCGGGGCATCGCAAACGCGAGGACACAGCGGGGGAGGGGGGATTGACGAGTTTGGCGGGTCTCCGAGCGCCATACTGGTAGAATAGTAGGGGTAGGGGTGGGGGAAGACAGATACAGGGAACATTTCTACACATATTTTGGATTGGTTCAAGAGAAAGAATTTGGAGGAGAGGGGGGTTGTTCCAGAAGCGGCAGTGACTTGCAATATACCACGGTTGAGAAGAGCGTTGACAGAAAGGGTTCAGTTCCGTTCAGTTTGATTCTTGGGATCCTTTTCAGGGTCTTTTCTCGCGATCAGACCATGCCCAGCAAGTAGTAGAAGTGGCAGTAGCAGTAGGCAAGTAGAAAGAGGCAGGTATGGCGTAATAGCAGGTGGATGCGCAAGTGTCTGTGTGCCAACCACAATCGGACCATGTAGAAAGAAAAAAAGATGTACAGTAAAGAGGCAACACCTTCCCAGAGAGGACAGGCATACGAGAAACCCAAGAAGAGGGGGGCAATGAGGGGGGGGGTAAGAATTCACAGTAGAGGGGGAAGAAAGAAAGACCACAAAACTAGATCACCACGTTCTAGACTTTCTCTGGCACCCAAATCGAAGACTTTTCTGTACAGAATAAGGTCGGACTAGGTTCGGAGACTAGAATTAGTTAGTAGTTAGTGGGTGGTGGTGGTGGCCTAAGCACTTGAACAGTGTGAGTGAGTGTGGTTCGAACTCCGCTCCACCAAGTGCTCAGATTGCGTAGGCAGATTCGTTGGTGGAATCAGACAACTGCAAGTGGAACACAATGGCAACACCGGATAACTAATGGTTTGAATTGCTTACTCAGTTTCTTTCTCTCGGACGAGCAGCGAAAAAGAACAGGCAAGGCAGGACAAACGACAAGCGAAGTATTCCGAT